TTTTCCTATTGGTAATAGCTTTTCTGTAGTAAATTTGTGTAACTGTGTGTAGAACTGAGAGTTGGATTCTACCCCAAATCCAAACTATATCTGTAAGAACAGTGTCTGAATGCTCCTTGAGCTCTGGCAGCTTGAGGCCATGCCTGCTGTCCTCTAGTGCAGGGTCTTTTCCTAATGCACAACCTGATGCTCCTCTGGCACATCCACATGCTGTTCCCTTAGGTTCTCTTGCTGTCATGAGAGAGCAGAGATCGGAGGGAGCTGCAGGCTGCCATGAAGCCTCCTCTTAGTGTCCTAGGTTGAACAAACCTAGGGACCTCAGCTCCACATATCTTGCTCCCGAGATTCATTCCCATTTCCCTGCTTTGGATGTCCTCTGATAGTTTTATGTCCTTCTTACTTTGTAGCACTCAAACCCACACACAGTGCTTGAGGTAAAGCAGTGCCAGGCAGAGCAGGGTGGTCCCTTACCTCACCCAGCTAGCAGTTCTGGGCCTTATGCACCCAGTGTACACTGCTGGCTCAGATTCAACTTGCTGCCAGCCATAACCCTCAGATCCCTTTTCACAGGGCTGCTCACCAGCCTCTTGTCCCTCTGTTTGTACGTACAGCAAGGTTGTCCTATCCTACATGAGGCTGTTAAACTTCATGCAGTTGTTGATTGCCTTCCAGTTTGTCAAAATCTCTCTTCAGTCCCGCTCTACCCTCAAAGGAGTCAACACATCCTCTTAAGTTAATATAATCTGTGAACTTACTTAGTATGCATTTGAGTCCTGCATCTAGATCGCGTATAAAAACATTAAAGGAAACTTTCCCTAAAGTGGAGTATATCCTACTAGTGACCAACCATCAGCCTGATGCAGTTCATCTGCTATAACCCTTTGATCCGAATTCATCACCCAGTTGTTCACATACTTGTCTAGCTGTATTCTGGACACTTTGTCCAGATGGATATAAATAAGAGAAGAAAATAGCAATTAAAAAGAAATTTTCAGGGTATATCCTTACTTCCTAAGAGAAGATCAGACAGTCTGTCTGTATTGTTTTCGCTGTTGTCCTGACTTGGTACCTTTCTTTTGCATCCTTGTCAGCATGGAACAGTACACTGTTCTTTGAAGAAAGGTCAGTGCAAAATAATAGCATAGAAGAAATGGCTAAAGTGAAGTGAGTGGTAGTATTTTTATCAAGTTGCTACCTTTTAAGAAATTTTAATTAGCTGTGGCAGTAAGACAAAACCACTTGCAGTAACATATCTCCATATTTAAATGTAAATATGTATAATTGGATTTCATCAAGTGTATAGAGAGAAGACAGTAGATAGTCTGTTGGTTGTTTTTTTTTTTTTGTCTGTTCTTATTGTCACTGCAACATTGTGTGTTGCAGGTTTGGGAATGTATGAAACCCCACTCTTCCTTGCTCATGAGGAAGAATCAGGCGGTCGTAGTGTTCCAACAACACCTTTACAAATAGCAGCACCAGGTAAGCAGCAGGAAACTCGCAGGTAAAAGTTTGAAACTTTGACTTTCCAGAAAAGGATTATACAGTCAGGAATATTCCAGTAGCTTTTCCTTGTGCTTAAGATTTCCATAAATTTTATTTAGGAAATTCAAGCTAACTCCATGCTTACTAAGCTGCCTTTCCTGTACAGTTACAGTTTTTACTGAAAGTACATCAGCTGACGCTTCAGAGCATGCTTCTCAGTCTGTTCCAATGGTTACCACATCTACTGGCAATCTGTCCACAACTACAGAGGCTGGAGCAGGTGATGATGGGGATGAAGTTTTTGCAGAGGCAGAATCTGAAGGGTAAGCTGTGACTAGATTGTTTGACTTGAAGTCACCTTAGTTTTTTAATGATGTTTCATTCAAATACGCCTGTGATCCACTAAGTTCTGATTTAACGTGTTCTGGTATGAAGGACCCTCAAGCAAGCTTTGGCAATTTTGCAAAGTAATGTTATTTACCTTTTCATGTAAAAGCAAAGCTTTTCGTCTGGTAATTTGCTTGGAGATATGATTTAGCAGAGGAATGTTAGAGTTAGGGTACTGTGGTTAGGCTGCGGTTGGATTTGATTATCCTTGAGGTCCCTTCCAACCTGAGTAATTCTATGATTCTATGATTTAACATTGCTAATACATGTCACCTTAAAAAAATAAAAGACATTTCTGTAAATGTTCATAACGTGAAGGGCCCTATGGTAGTCAAATAGAGATGGTAAAGGCCACAGATTGAGTGACTGGAGTTTGTAGAATAAAAATAAAGCATTTCTGTTGGCCAGCAAAGAGAATCACTCGTACAGTAGTCATTTTGTTAAGCCAGTCCAGAAGGGCAGAAAATTAGTGACTTTTTAAAGAACTTGATAGACATAGATAAATGATTTATCTCCTTCCTTGCTATTGCTTTTTTTTTAAAATATATTATAATGATTCCTGTATTTTGTATTGTTAACAAATAAATTATGAATCTAGAAGGAAGGAGGTTATATTTTTATTATACATTTTGATTTTTATTGGATGCAAAATAATAATACTGTAATTCACAATTTTTCAAAACTTGCATCTACTAATTACTGGTTTCATCATAAGTAAACATAATATTACTGCTGCAGGTTACATGTGCCATACAGGTTTCTTGATGCAGCACCAGCTTGGATTATACAGTCTGCCTATATCGTGCTTTTGAGGAGCAGTTGTTACTCAAGATGGGTTTTCGGATGTTACGATCACAAATCGTTTCCTACCAAATACCCAATTCTTAGTGAATTATATCCACAGAGAAATTAAATGGTTCACAAAGTTATGTTTGTGCTTAGGAATAGGCCTTTAGCTTGACAGGAGAGCAAGTCGACAGGTATTTCTCACATCTTAGGAGTTTTACTTGTAACAGTTTTTTATAACTGAAGTAAATGTAAACAACATGGCAAGCTGCATTTTAACAAAATTGAGACCTTCTCTGGGAGGTAGTTAATGTTATGTATACATCGTATGTTGGGCTACATATCAAAGAAAATATTTATTTACTTACTTCAAAGCCATATGAATCTCTTATAATTAGGGGCAGAGGGCACAGAAGAAAATTTCTGGGGATAGATGTTTGGATAGAAATCTTTCTGCTTTGTGATGAGGACTTTTTTTTTTTTTCCTGAGTTATTTGACACTGGGAACATTTGTATCTCTTTTCATCCTTTGCCCCCCTCCTTTTCTCTTTTAGAATTACTTCAGAAGCTGGCCTAGAAATTGATAGTCAGCAAGAAGAGGAATCTGTTCAAGCATCTGATGAGTCAGATCTTCCTTCTACAAGTCAAGATCCTCCATCTAGTTCTTCTGCAGGTACTGGTTAATTACTGGAAACTGAAGTTGCTTTGCACAGTTCCATTAAGTGTGAGAACTTTTTGGAGTAGGATCATGGGCTGCTAATGACTAAGATATACAAAATAAGGCAGCAAGCCTTACTTAAAATAAGAACATGCTTATATGTTTTTAGTCCTAATGGCAAATCATTTTATCATTTTGGGCCAGAGTAACTAATGTGTCCATGGTAAGCAAATTCCAGATACATAGGTGATTGCATCCAATGTCAGATTTAAAATAGTTTTTATTCAATTAAATTGTCAGAGAATGATGTTTATCACTATTCTGTTACCATGTTACCAGATAGTATAGACGATGAACAAAATACCAAACTTACATGTTCTGAGGCTTTTATTTATATCAGAGATTATGTCAATTAAATAGGATGCACCTTCATAATTTTTAGGTAAATTCAAGAGCATAATGTATATCAAGTCATGTAAACACTAATGGTGCAAAACTGTACTAAACACAGATATTCTTCCCTGTACTTCCACTTCTTCACAGACACAAGCAGTAATCAGCTTAAGCTGTTTCGACGTGTAAGGCTTCAGCCACCAACATTAAGAACTGGTGTTCGTGGTCGTCAGTTCAACAGACAGAGGGGTAAGTGTTCAGGGCTTTTTTTCCCTGTCAAACTAGTATTTAATACTTTGTTCCTTTGGGGACCACATGTGTTCTACTTTCTATGCATATGTTTGCTTGTAAGACAATAATACCACATCCCTGCCCTAGCTTTCAATATGTTATCCTAAAAGCTCTAGGTTTTTGTATATTTGTCCAAGCATTTTTGTAATAAGCAAACGTTTTATGTGACACTTGGTTCTTACCAATAGAAAGTGAATGGCAAAAGATCTTACACTTACAAATTTTAGAGTCTTTAAAGTCTTTAAAAAATATTTCTAGGGCATACGTTAAAGCCAAAGTGACATTTTTTGTGTCAGTATTAAAAAAAACCCTTAGTCAAATTTAATTTAATTTAGTATTATGTTAACATTCTAGAAGTAGTAGCATTGAAATACATGAAATTTTTCTAAGAGAGGTTGATGACTTTGGATAGATTTTCCTAATCATTTATCACCCTTGCTGTTAACAACCAAAAGGGTTATTAACATTATTTTTTATTTTTAATTTAATTATCAGGTAACTGATATCAAATATAGCAAGAATGCCATATTTGTTCTTTTGCCAAGCAGCCTGAGATAGACCATAAGTCGATAAGATTCTCTTAATGACAGAAGTATAATATAGCCATATCAGCAGGCTCTAGGGGAGAAAGAGGGAGATTGAGTTTTTCCAGAAAGGAAGTGTCTCATTGCAATAGCAATTGCTTACTGGAGGATGAAACGTCAGATGCATCAGTGTTTGATTAAATGGCTGAAAAGGATTTCTATTAATTCATTTGTTTTCTTTCCCAACACAGGTGTAACTCATGCAATGGGAGGCAGAGGAGGCCTGAACAGAGGCAATATTAGTTAAATGATCTGTAATTACAGCTGTGTATAGAAATGTGCCAGTTTGCCTGTGGTTGGTTTAGTGTAATGAATGCAGAAAGCAGCATTTTATACTTAGATTTGTGTGCACACATTTCAATGTCTTTATTAATAAAATTAGACAAACTGTCAAAATTCAAATGGTATCTTTTCTAAAAAATCCTCTGCTCTGCATCACTTTTCAGGACAGTTATACCAGTCTTTAGATACAGTCTTTCCCGTGAGAGCGGTTACAGGTCTTGCTATTCTTTTGCCCACATCCAAACTGTAGTACCGGTCTGAAATGAATAGACATCAGAATTAAATTTCATTAGCTACAGAAAGAATCTTGAAATTAAAGCCTGCCTTTTAATTTTGTTAGGTATGAACAGTAGATTTTCATTCCAATTCTATACAAGGATTTCTATAAAAATCCATTTTTAGCCTCAACTTTTTGACATGTAGATCATTGTTTAGCTAAATTTAATTGCCATAATACCACTAATAATTAAGTCTGTCACAAGAATAGAGAATACAGGAGACACTAGCACTGCTAGAGCACAGAAATAGTTTTAAGTATTTAGAAACCAAACAAACTGGAAACAAAACAGTCCTGCACCAGTTGTAAAAGTGGGAACTTCTGTGGTCCCTGAGTGTGAATTACGTTAAAGTTATCAAATTATTTTGGCAGAAACTTATTTTAGTATCCTCCTGTATTTGGATATATGTCTAATACTTCTAAATTTTTTTTTCACTGAAAATTTCAAGAAATGTTTTTATCTGATCCTGGCTGACTGAGAAAGATCTTCTTAAACTGGAACTAGAAGTAATTATTTCCTGGGAAATCAAATGGGTCATGTTGCCAGTGAAAAATCTATCAATGTATAATGGTCCAAGGATTTTGATATATAATTGTTCATTTAAGTGTCAAGATTTTTCTCTTTTTATAAATCTGAACTCTTAGGATAATGCATTCCACAACTATATAGCTTGAATTATTGTACCTCATTGCTACTAGCTGTTCTGTAACTCGATTTTTGAATAGAAATCTCTCTCAATTACAGGCAACATTTTATTTCTCAGGGCTTCTCAGTAGTGCTTGCTCAAAATTAGTGATGCAGAATCACAAGTTGTAACTTTGTGCTTTAGAAAGCTCAGAGGCTTCTTTCTTTCCTACTCATTCTCTCCTTAGTCTTTTGAAATAGAGTAACTTGTGTTAGCTTTAACTTACTGTAAGAGAAGGCATAATAATCATAGCCGTCTGGTTTACTGTAGTTGGGTACTGAGATCGTCGAGTGAACTACTTTGGGGAGCCCTCTCCAGTAGGCAGTCACTTTGATTTCCTTGCGCAAAACTCCTGCAAGCAAAAGAAAAGTTAGGAAGTGTCACAGTGTGTCTGCCAAAAGCTATCATTTACTTGTATTATCTAGAGCAAACAAGAAATATTAGATTGAGAAAAAATTGAAGTATTATATTAGGAAAAAAATGGAACAGTGTTACATTTCAGAAGCTACAAAGATTACAATGGTTGTATAAAAAAATGAATAAACATAAGTTACCAGATTGGTATGGATTGATTCTGACAGTCTGAATAACTGTTGGCATTCCTACTGCACGTTGAAAGCGTCTCCTTATTACAAGTCTTGGGACAAAAGCTGGGTATCTTATGGTAATGCGTGCTTTCCGTTGGCACTTCTTGGCTGGTTCTTGCCTGTATACATACTGTTGCATGTTGCCATCTAAAACAGACATTGGTTTAATATGTTAAAAACAAAAAAAACAGAAAAAAAAAACAGCTTGATAACAGTGGTGATGTTGGATAGTATTTTGTAATGGGCAGGAAAACAGTATCACTTCGATATGCCTACAGCTGTCTAATGCTGTTGCAACTTGCTGCTTTTTATATCCGTTCCTACATTCTAATGTAAAAGCCTTGCTCTCTAAATCCAACATACACTTCTAGATGTAGTAATAACTCCTGCAACTTCATTAACATTACTGTACTAAGTACAGTTCCAGGGGAACTACTTTGGTTGCCACTGTACCTATTTATCAAGACCAGGGTAAGACCAGCTCTTTGGAGTAGGTAATGGGAAGGCTAGAGTCCAGAAAAGGACTTGTATTTAATTATCCTAAGCTTTCTTTCGTTTCCAAAACAATTCTTCTGTTGCCATACATTGTTCATATGTAGTAAGGAAATTATGCTCATTTGAAACAGGATAAATAGTTAAGAATGAAAGAAATGAAGTAAATTTCCATGCATTAGTTCTGAACTAAAAAGATTGTTTAAACCTTTCCTTTGACTAATTTGAGACTGATTTTTTTTTCCATCAGATAAAACTTATTTTTATGTTTGTCTTCTGTGATGTAATCTCATGCAATTTGATATATTTTGAAAAGCACTTAAAAATTTGTAGAACTTAGGGATGTTTATAGCCTTAGGCTGTGTTTTGACTAGTTTGACAAGTGTACTCTGATATCACTTAGATATCTGTTTTTGAAAGAGATATGTCAATCAGTCAGTAACTGTTTTATTCCTCACTAATGTAATTTGAGTACATTTTGATCATTTGTGAACATCTGAAATATGAGACTTACCTCTTTTGATAAAATAAACAGATTCTGGTCTGCCATTGTAACTTGCCACTGGGAGGGCTGCCCTTATTTTCCCACTTAGCCCTGCAAATCCATTTGTGAGAGGTTTGGGATAGCCTTTATCCATTACACCATTAGTGAAACGCCAGTATAGAGGACCCTAGTGATTTAAGCAAAATATGAACTTCAGAGGAAATTCATTTTTGGTAACTGGGCTTCAACGCAGATATTAAAAGTAATTGTAATGCTAGCATTTTGAGAACTGCCTTGTTATCCTTGTATTTAGGAGCCACTAAAAACAAACAACTACAATGGTAATTTAGCAGTGCCTTTAAGTAGGGGTGAGTGTTTCAGAAATTATCTGGAATAATGATAACTAAACAGAACAGTTTGCTTTCTAATTGCATAACATTCTTAATTAGGTATGCATCTATCATTCCTTAAGGATGGGTAAAGTAGTGGGAGCAAACTTAGGTCATATTTGGGCAAAAGAAAGATTCAGTGGAATAACTGCATTTTGAAGGTTTTTTTGGGGGCACAGGGATTTTTGGAAATAATGGTCATAGTAATGGACAGATATTTGATCAGTAAGCAATTACAGGAAGAAAGCACAGAATTTGACATTCTGAGAAACACAGTGCCGAAGCAGAGGCAGTGGAACATGGGAAAGGTTTCACTTCAACTGCTTAATTTCACATGTGAAAATGCTGAATGTTCTACAAAATGAGCAACGTAGCCTTGAAGCACAAGGTTCCACAAGGAAGCACCGCTATGCTTCAAAGCCTCCCTACTTTTCCCACCTTGATGAAGAAAGTCTTGCCATCACAGTTGCACCTGGAGAAGACAGCATCGATGGGGGATGGGATGCCCCAGCCCACACTGATCCGCTGGGGACTGGTTGTTGGTGGGGTCCTGCCATTCAGCAGCCAGTAGTAGTGACCTGCAGGGAGGAGGAGTCATGGCCTGCATGGTGAAACGTGGCCAGACAGTAATGCAGGGAGAAAAGCTTGGGAAGGAGGGGAAGGTGTCTCCTGCACTTGCTGCCCCTCAGCAACAGTGAGGCCAATGGAGGGTGCAGGGCCTGCGTACCTCTGAAGACGGCCAGGGTTCCATTGGGCAGGGCAACCATGCTATCCGCTGGCTTCCCACTGCACAGGTCCTTCTCGTTGGCCTTCCCCACTGCAAAACAGCAAGTCTCAGGATGGTTGGTTCTTTTAACAAAAAGTACATTGCCTCCCCACCACCTGAAGCAGCGCTACCACAGTTAAGTGTAATTTTTTTCTCTGTAGGACCAAGTTCAGGGCTCTCTTTGGGCATTGTTCAGGATATATTCTTGAAAAGTTTAACTCTCGTGTTTTCCTCCAAGGAACGTAAGACCAGCTCTTTACACAATTACGTGCAGTTATTGTCATTTGTTGTTTACCTCAGTACCTATAATTCAGATAAAGGTCTATAGGTGCTTCATATGCTGTGTCTCACGTTCAATTCCTTCATGCTTACAGATGTTTACTTCAAGTTTCCCTAACAAGTTTCACATCCTTCATTCTTAAGAGTGCATTTACATTTATTTCAGTTAAATGTAAAGGAAGGATATCTTTTCAACAAAAATCCCAAGTATTTTCATTCAAAAAACCTATTTGTATTTATATATATATATATCTGGATCTAGAAGTGCCCAAGAGCTTCTGAACTGTGTATATATATATATACATATATATACATATATATACATAGTGAGGACATCAAAGAAGTTGTGGCAAAAAATGTACAAACAAAGAAAATAAGAAAAAGCTGTCTTATCTTACTTATGTGACTATGTTACCCAACTATGTTACTATACTACTGCTACCACACTACTTGGGTAGTGACTATGTTACTACCCAAGTTAGGTAGATTCAGTCTGTTTCCTGAACTGTATTTTCATAAGGCTTAGAAATTTATCTTGGTTTTCCTTTATATCTTTTTTGTTTGTTTCCATCTTCCACAGTATTTACAGCAAATATTTTTCAGCAGGACCGAAATAAGAGCACAAAATAAAATCATGCTCTGAAGTACATGAGGAATTTCAGTAACTACACAACTGAAAAATAAAGTACTACCTAGAATTCAGGATGCTGAGAGTGGTCTAATTAGAAAGTACTTGCACATCCTTTACTCACAAGTTTTGTACACTTACTTTCTGCTCCTCCAGATAAAATTGGCAAGTCTGCAGTTTGTATTAAAGGCTTGTTTATCTCCGGCTCTTCTACTGGTGTGGTTTCAGGGTTCAGTCGAGAAGGCCGATCATGTGTGTCAGTAATCTCCTGGAAATGTATAGCTGGTTTGGATGTCCCTCTAGGAACAAGAAACATTTCTTCTATTGTGTCTTTTTTATCTGTTGCTGTTCTACCACTGATTACTGTAGTTTCTTCTTTCTTGTCAAGGCTAGGGGACTTTTCAGGGGCATCCTCTATTTCTTTTTCAGTAGTATAGCTAGTTTCCTTGGCAAGGGTGGTCATCTCTTTTTCACCAGCTGTTGTCTCTTTAGAGGGAATGATGCACTCAGCAACTGCTGGTGCAGCCCGTGTAGTTTCCATAGTTGTGTCTCTTTTAGTTGTTGTCACAATCTCCCCAGGTTTAGGAGTTGAATCTGTTTCGGCAGTTGTTGGCAGCATAGTGGGCTTCCGTGTAGTGCTTTTAGCTGCTGATGTTGTTACAGTCATGGTTCCCACAGCATGTTCTTCTCTTTTAGCTGTAGATGGTGAAGTCTCTTTTGTTGTGGGAGTTTTGTCTTGTGTACCTGGGGTTGCTTCTCCTTCTGTAGCTGTTGTTGCAGCCCTTTTGTATGTGGTAGTTGCTTCTAATACAGCTGTTGTACTAACAACTTGATTGGGTGCAGGGGTTGTATCTGGAATAGTTACAGTAGTTGTGTCTCTTCTACCTTTCAAAAGGTCTTTAAGCACTGTAGTTTTGTCTTTCTTGGGTATTGTTACTTCCTTTTTCTCTGTGGTTGTTTCTTTTTTAGTTGAGATCTCCATGGTTACAGGGGTCATAATAGGCTTAGTTGTTTTGTCACTTTTATCAGTTATACTTACTAGTTTGCTATATATAGTAGTTGTGCCTTGCTTAACATTTGTGGGTGCAGGTGTAGAAAGTTCAACTTCAGGAACGATGGGAGAGTCAGACAGGGATATTGGAGCATCTGTGGCCTTAGGCATTATTTCTTTGGGGACTGTTGGCACCTTTGTGGCACTAGCACTTTTCTCCTCAGCTTTGGGAGTGGTGGGAGAATCAGCCTTGGTTGTTGGTGCTTCTGTGGCTTTAGGGGTTGTCTCCTCAGCTTTAGGGGTTGCTGGTGCCTCTGCGGCTTCAGGAGTTATCTGTTCAGATTTAGGTGCTGTCGGTATCTCTGTGCCTTTAGGGGTTGTCCCTTTGGTTTTAGGAGTCATTGGACGATCTGTGGCCTCGGTTTTTGAGGCTGTCACTACCTCTGTGGCAACAGGGGTTGTCTTCGCAACTTTAGGGGATGTGGTCTCTTTGGATTTGGCGGTCGTCGCTTTGGCTTTGGGAGTCATTGAGGCCACTGTGGCTGCAGGGGTTGTCTCCATGACTTTGTGAGTTCTTGGTGCCTCAGTGGCTTCAGGGGTTGTCACTTTGGCCATAGGAGTTGGTGTTTTAATGGCTTCAGTGGTTGACTCTTCAACTTTGGGAGTTGCTGGGGCCTCTGTGCATGCAGAGGTTGTCTCTTCAGGTTTTGGGGTAGCCACAGCCTCCGTGGCTGCAGGGGTTGTGTCTTCGGCTTTGGGGGTTGTTGGTGCCTCTGTGGCTTCAGGGGTTGTTCCTTTGACTACCTGCGTTGTCGATGCCTCAATGGCTTCAGGGATTGTCTCTACATCTTTTGGGGTTGTCAGTACCTCAGCGACTTCAGGGGTCGTCTCCTCAGCTTTGGGTGTTGTTGGTGCCTCACTGGCTTCAGGGGTCGTGTCTTCAGCTTTGGGTGTTGTTGGTTCCTCAGTGGCTTCAGGGGTTGTCTCTTCATCTTTGGGGGTAGTTGGTCCCTCCGTGGATTTAGGGGTTGTCTCTTCATCTTTGGGTGTTGTTGGTGCCTCTGTGGCTTCACGTGTTGTGTCTTCAACTTTCGGTGTTGTTGGTCCCTCGGTGGCTTTAGGGGTTGTCTCTTCATCTTTGGGTGTTGTTGGTGCCTCTGTGGCTTCAGGTGTTGTCACTTCATCTTTGGGTGTTGTTGGTCCCTCAGTGGCTTTAGGGGTTGTCTCTTCATCTTTGGGTGTTGTTGGCACATTTGTGGCTTCAGGTGTTGTCTCCTCAGCTTTCGGTGTTGTTGATGCCTCCGTGGCTACAGGGGTCGTCTTTTCTTCTTTTGGGTTTGTTGATGACTCTGTGGCTTCACGTGTTGTGTCCTCAGCTTTGGGTGTTGTTGATGCTTCTGTGGCTTCAGTGGTTGTCTCTTCATCTTTGGGTGTAGTTGGTCCCTCCGTGGATTTAGGGGTTGTCTCCTCATCTTTGGGTGTTGTTGGTCCCTCTGTGGCTTTAGGGGTTGTCTCTTCATCTTTGGGTGTTGTTGGTGCTTCTGTGGATTCAGGTGTTGTCTCCTCAGCTTTGAGTGTTGTTGGTGCCTCTGTGGCTTCAGGTGTTGTCTCTTCAGCTCTGGGTGTTGTTGGCACCTCTGTGGCTTCAGGTGTTGTCTCTTCATCTTTGGGTGTTGTTGGTTCCTCTGTGGCTGCAGAGGTTGTCTCTTCATCTTTGGGTGTTGTTGGTCCCTCTGTGGCTTTAGGGGTTGTCTCTTCATCTTTCGGTGTTGTTGGTGCTTCTGTGGATTCAGGTGTTGTGTCCTCAGCTTTGGGTGTTGTTGGTGCCTCTGTGGCTTCAAGGGTTGTCTCTTCAGCTCTGGGTGTTGTTGGTGCCTCTGTGGCTTCAAGGGTTGTCTCTTCAGCTCTGGGTGTTGTTGGCACCTCTGTGGCTTCAGGTGTTGTGTCTTCAGCTCTGGGTGTTGTTGGTGCCTCTGTGGCTTCAGGTGTTGTCTCCTCAGCTTTGAGTGTTGTTGGTGCCTCTGTGGCTTTAGGGGTTGTCTCTTCATCTTTGGGTGTTGTTGGTGCCCCAGTGGCTTTAGGAGTTGTCTCCTCAGCTTTGGGTGTTGTTGGTGCTTCTGTGGCTTCAGGTGTTGTCTCTTCATCTTTGGGTGTTGTTGATGCCTCTATGGATTCAGGTGTTGTCTCTTCATCTTTGGGTGTTGTTGGTGCCTCTGTGGCTTCAGGGGTTGTCTCTTCAGCTCTGGGTGTTGTTGGTGCCTCTGTGGCTTCAGGGGTTGTCTCCACAGCTTTGAGTGTTGTTGGTTCCTCATTGGCTTCAGGGGTTGTCTCTTCATCCTTGGGAGTTGTTGGTGCCTCTGTGGCTTCAGGGGTTGTCTCTTCAGCTCTGGGTGTTGTTGGCACCTCTGTGGCTTCAGGTGTTGTCTCCTCATCTTTGGGTGTTGTTGGTGCCTCTGTGGCTTCAGGTGTTGTCTCTTCATCTTTGGGTGTTGTTGGTGCCTCTGTGGCTTCAGGGGTCGTGTCTTCATCTTTGGGTGTTGTTGGTTCCTCTGTGGCTGCAGAGGTTGACTCTTCATCTTTGGGTGTTGTTGCTGCCTCTGTGGATTCAGGTGTTGTCTCTTCATCTATGGATGTTGTTGGTGCCTCTGTGGCTGCAGGGGTTGTCTCCACAGCTTTCGGTGTTGTTGGTTCCTCTGTGGCTTCAGGTGTTGTCTCTTCAGCTTTGGGTGTTGTTGATGCCTCTGTGGATTCAGGTGTTGTGTCTTCATCTTTGGGGGTAGTTGGTGCCTCTGTGGCTTCAGGTGTTGTGTCTTCATCTTTGGGTGTTGTTGGTTCCTCAGTGGCTTCAGGGGTCGTGTCTTCAGCTCTGGGTGTTGTTGGTGCTTCTGTGGCTTCAGGGGATGTCACTTCATCTTTGGGTGTTGTTGGTGCCTCTGTGGCTTCAGGGGATGTCACTTCATCTTTGGGTGTTGTTGGTGCCTCTGTGGCTTCAGGGGTCGTGTCTTCATCTTTGGGTGTTGTTGGTTCCTCTGTGGCTTCAGTGGTTGTCTCTTCATCTTTGGGTGTTGTTGATGCCTCTGTGGATTCAGGTGTTGTGTCTTCATCTTTGGGTGTTGTTGGTGCCTGTGTGGCTTCAGGTGTTGTCTCTTCATCTTTGGGGGTTGTTGGTTCCTCAGTGGCTTCAGGGGTCGTGTCTT